GAAAATCCAGGACTTGTCAACAAGTCTTGTTATGAAGATGGTAAGTTGGAAATTTAAGGATTGTTTGCTGCAGTTAACATTTAATCTAGACTATAAAGCAATCTTTAACTGATTGTGATTTCTTTTTGTACTTCTTAGTATTATAATAGATGTTCTGCTTTTAAAAGGAAAAACACAGGTTAGGTTATGTTTTAGATCTCTGTCAATAAAAGCATTGCCTAATTTTATAGGGTTCTTAGTATTGTACTTGTAGACTCATTGTAAACACTTCAAAGTACTTACCTCTTCAGTCATAAAGCATCTAATCACATTTTGTGATAAAGGTGGTAACAATATTTATTGCATTCAGTTTTCTGATATTTTTGTCTTCCTAATAACGTGGTAAACTAGTAGCAGTTTTTTCCCTTTCGTAGATGAAATTCTCTAAGGATTTCTTTGGTAAGGTCAAGCAGCCAATAAAATGCAAAATTAGCATTAAGTTGTAGTTTTCTATTTCCTATCACCTACTTCTCTCTTCTAATGCTTTCTAATGCCATTAATTTCAGTAGTTACAGTGTTTGTGTTCCTTATTTATATACCTTTATATTTGGATCCCTGTGTAGTTGTTAATGCTTATTAACTACAACCTAAGATTTCTTAATCTGTGATGGTACAATTTCTTCTAGTTCTTTTCAGTTATTATATGTAAGGAATATTAATTTAATTCTTAAGGTTAAAATTTATGTAAAGAATACTAGATTAATTTTGAGGCACTCAATTTAATTTTTGAATGAATTTGACTTTCTCTTTTAAAAGGTGATTTGGAATGTATGATACTTTTTTTGGTTGCAGGTTGGCTGATCAAGATGACATTCAGTAACCCTTCAGAACTAGATGAACTAATGAGTGAAGAAGCATATGAAAAATACATAAAATCTATTGAGGAATGAAAATGGAACCCCTAAATAAACTACTTTGAAACAACTTAATCTAGCATAGTTGTTTGTATCTTTTCCACAGCATCCTGTGATTTTTAGGCTAGGGTCCAGTTATACTATTCAGAATTCCTGAAATTATCTCTGATAAAACTAATTACAAAAATTATGTAATTCAAGGATAACATGGTTATCTTATACCTTATATGACATTGTAACTTGCTTACAGCTATCCTTGGATTTGGGTCAAAATGATTTTCCCACTAGAAATAACTGGCAGTGGAGAAAAGTTTGTTAGTTGTATAGTGTCCAGTGAAGGATATTACTGTCTTAACTTTGCAATATACTGTGTTTGCTGGTGCTATTTTTATACAGTGAAGCAACAGCCTTGCAGGAGCATAAACAATTTAATAATAAAATATTCAACTTCTTAATCATGTATTTTGTTCTGCTGTTAATATTTCATAGTATGTTTCCTGGTATTTATAAAGATGCTAATTTTAACTTATGGGAAGTCTTTTTTTTTTTTTTTAAAGGAAATTTAAGTCCTGACAATGAGAAAGTTCCAAGAAAATGTTTCCTTTTAGTCACAAATCTGGCTTTTCTTAAGCAAAGATCTAATTGCCCAATAACATCAAGTACTATTTTTTTATCATCTTTAATGTACTGAAAAAGAAATCACTGACCTTGTTTTTCTGTCATGCTAAATTAGAAGAGTGGAGTAGAAACAAGAAAAGGTGAAATTGTGACCAGCCTAGCACATGACAACCTTAAGAAAGCTAAGCCACATAAGTAATGGGAATAGAAGTGGACACAGTGAAACTTGTGGCCAACATAGTATACAGCAAGAACAAACTCTTCTATCATTTTCCCAAAACTGGAGAAGGGAAGTATTTAGGCATTACTATCTTCTGGTAAATAAAGAGCAAACACGAGAACCTAGAGTATGTAGATAGATAAATAACATACAAGCCTTTCCTGTTCTTCTGCAAAATGAATGCATTCTTTCCAGGACTGAGCCAGTAACCCTGAGCCAGTAGCCCTATCACTGCTGAACTGTCTGTTAATAATCTATTTGCTTTGGAAGTAGAAAGGGATGAGTAATAATTGTTCATCTTAGTCTAAATAATTAAATTTTGTTTTAAAGGTGCTCTCATGTATTACCTTCTTTGGTCTTTACGATAGAGCTCGGTAGGGCATATCCATAACTACCACCATTTCACAGATGAGGTGATGGAAAGGATAAAAGCTGGGAAGTTATAGTTAGGGTTTTCACATTTCCTGATTCACTATCAGTTCCTTAGCAAATGTATGTTACTATAAAAAGACAAGGGAATTCCCTGGAGAGCAAGTGGTTAGGACTTTTTCACTATGCAATGAAAGTTAGGCACTTTCATTGCTGGGGCCCAGGTTCAATCCCTGGTTGGGGAACTAAGACCACACAAGATGTGTGACATAGCCAAATATATATATTTAAATGGGAATCTAGTCAAAGCTATGGTTTTTCCAGTAGTCATGTATGGATGTAAGACTTGGACCATAAAGAAAGCTGAGTGCCGAAGAACTGTGATGTTGGAGAAGGTTCTTGAGAGAGTCCCTTGGACTGCAAGGAGATCAAACCAGTCAATCCTAAAGGAAATCAGTCCTGAATATTCACTGGAAGGACTGATGCTGAAGCTCTAATACTTTAGACACATGATGCGAAGAACTGATTCACTGGAAAAAAACCCTGATGCTGGGAAAGATGAAGGCAGGAGGAGAAGGGGTCAACAGAGGATGAGATGGTTGGATGGCATCACTGACTCAAAGGACATGAGTTTGAACAAGCTCCAAGAGTTGGTGATGGACAGGGAAGCCTGGTGTGCTGCAGAGCATGGGGTTGAAAGAGCTGGGACACAGCTGAATGACTGAACTGAATTGGGAGTCTGATGGGGGAAGGGGATCGGATCAAAGAATAACTATCACAACTTGCTCTTTCACAGTTTAGAATATAGAGCCAATTCAATCCTCTTTTCTGTTACAGTGCTGCTGAAAATAATAGGTGTTGAATGGCCTTTCAAATGGACTAAATCAACAAAGAATTCAGTTTCTCAGATCTCATTCCTTTGAATCATTTTGGTCTTAATAGAGAAGCTTAATACATGTTTTGAATAATGCTCTCTAATTAAAACTCTAGAAATGGAACAGGAAACCCTGAGGGTTAAATTTCTTTTTTTTCATTTCCCCGAAGTTGACAGCCTTAAGTTTTAATAAAGAAACCACTAGAGGGCTCTCTATAAGCATGCTAGTATGAAAATGAGGCTGGTGCTTCAGATCACCGCAGCATAATCAACTTCTGAATTTTTCTGAATTTCTGCAGCTTTTGGGCTGCTAAAATGTCAAGGTACCACCCACTTTCAGTTTTTAAAAATATGCTAAGTATATAACTGCCTTATTACTCAACAATCACTGTATTATTTCAGACCTAACCATACATCTGTATTTGATGAACTTTTTTCTTACCATAAACATGGTTTTACTATTGACTACTTCCTCCACCCCTTTTAAGTGGACTTTTTTTTAAGGGTAGATTTAGGTTCAAAACTGAGCAGAAAGTTTCTGTATACCTCCTGCCACCATTTTGGTGTTTTTAAAAACACCCCTTTGCCAACTCTGAGATCTTATTCTACAAGAACTTTTGTATCTTGATTCCATTTCTACTTCGGCATTTTATAAACATGACTAGCTAAACACACTTGTCCATTTATGTTTCTGCTCAGTCATGCTATCAAACTTCTACCTGCTAAGCCTCAATGGTGATTACAAGCCCCTTTAAAAGGGGTATGAAGGCACAATTAGTGTGAAGCACATCAACTGCCACATCTTCCAACTTCCACATGTACTTAGGGCAACGTGCTTTAGTTAAGACATTTGGTATACTTCCCAGAAACTGAGAATGTAGCTTTAATGACTGGGGTGATAAATCCTGCTAGTCAGGTGGTTTCAAATTTTCTGTTTTCAACAGAACTGAAGGAGGTCCTTCCTAACCAAACTGTCCACTGAAGTTAAGAGACACTGCAATGACAAAATCCCTTTCATGTGTGTCTTCCTATGAACAAGTTATTTCACTCGGCTTACATCTATGAGGAAAAATGAATAAAATTGAGACTGAATCTCTCATTCTGGTAATGTGTAATGTTTGCCCATAGATATATGAATTGATGAGAGAGGAGGAAAAGCCCAATATCTCATTCTGTACACTTTCAGTAACATTATTTTGTTTACTATTTGTAAACACAAGGAATACATTCCTATTATTTGCCGAGTGAGTAGAAATAAAGGTGATTATATATCTGAAAAAAAAATTTAGTTGTTTTAGCTTTACAGTCTTAGAAAAATTTTTTAAGTTTCATTTTCAAATTGTGTTGTTAGGATGAAATTATGTGGATAAAATAAAAATACAGTTATGAATTTAAGGGGAAAAATCAAAAGAAAATTTTATATTTTTCTTCCACTTTATATAGTTTTTTTCCTTTACAATTTTTTAAATAAAAAACAGGATGCTTCACAGATTTGCATGTCATCCTTGCACAGGGACCACACTAATCTCTGTATTATTCCAATTTTAGTCTATGTGCTGCCAAAGCGAGCACAAAATTTTCCATTTTTTTTCATGTATTTTGATCATCTGGATGTTACAGCCTTTAACATTTATGACTGGGAACTTCTGATGTCCCAGTGGTTATCATTCTGGGCTTTCATTGCAAGGGCCCACGTTCAATCCCTGGTTTAGAGAAGTGATATTCCATGTGGGTCAGTCACATAAAAAAATATATAATTGAAAATTTTATGTTTTAACACAAAAAATGTGGAATGAGGCATGCAGTTTCACACAATTCTTAGAAGTATGCAGAAATACTACTAATTAAAGGTTATGAAACACAAAAGATCCAAAAGTGTATTTTTAGGTAAAGAATACCCTAATAAGTAGTCATATTCTAGAAAAGTACGTTGTTCTAAGGTCTTAGAATGTCGTATTTATGTCATAAAAATGGTCTTTCCATAGAATTGATAGGCTTTGTAATTAATATAGTGTAGGTCAATCACCTTGGACTCTTGAGACCCCATGGGCTGTAGCTTGCCAGGCTCCTCTGTCCATGGAATCGGAATTTTTCTAGGCAAGAATACTGGAGTCAGTTGCCATTTCCTTCTCAAGGGGATCTTCCAAACCCAGGAATCGAACAGGGTCTCCTGCACTGCAGACAGAATCTTTACCATCTTAGTCACCAGGGTAGCCCAAACAGGTTTTAATCACAGTGGTATAAAAGGCTTATATTTCTCAAGCAGTAATATTTACCCTTCTAAAACCAGAAAGGTTTTGGGACCAGAACTGAGTTGCGTTCCACCATGAATGTCTGATTTCGGGCAGTTCCCATTCCTGGCTGCACCTTGGGATGCTCGAAAGTACCAGCACCAAAAGTGGGAAGGGAGGAGACGGGGACTTTTCACGGTCTTCAACGAGTTCCTCAGCTGATTTAACGGCGTGGGGCTATTTTTGACACCTGTAGAAAACATGCCAACGCCCACTTCACAGGCTGCGCTGCTACAAGACTTGGGTGCAAACTAGTCCTGTCCAGTCAAATTAAGTGGCTTAAATGCCTACTGTGAAGTTTCTGGCCTGTACCGCCCTGGCACAGTCCTTATGTGGCAAAGGGCAATTTGGGGACTGTTGGCAAAGTCTGGGGACAATTTCGTTCATCTGGTACCTCGTGGGTAGAGGCCAGGGATACTACTATCCACCCGTCATCACAGAACCAACCGCGCCATGGGCAATGGTGCTGAGGGTGAGGCTCTGGCTCTCTGAGGGAAAGCTGAGCCCTCGCTTTCTAACCCTAAGGCCTGACGGGCGCCTAAGGGGACACGGTACCTGGCCACGTGACCTCCCGCGCGCTCACGGGCTGTGAGCTCCTCACTCGCCGGTGGAAGGTTCGTGGCCGCGCACAGCCTGTCGGGAGCACGCGGCAACCGCGGTCAGTCAGAGCCGCTTCCCGCGCTGAGCTTTGTTGCGCTGGGCGAATATACGTCACTTCCGCCGCGAATCCCCTCCCCTCCGGGACCGCCTATCGCCCCGCCCCTAGCGCGTCTATAACGCAGGGCAACCGCCCCTGTAGCCCGCCCGCGGGGACTTAGCTGCCCGGGGCCTTCCACCCCGCTGGCCCTTCAGGAGGGTGTGAGCGGCCGGACCGCTTCCCCGCCTCCGGGTCGACGCCCCAGACTACTCCACCGGCGGCAGAGCGAGACGCCTTGCCCAGTTGGGAAGGGAGCTGCCTTCTGAGGCGCGGAGGTAAAAGGGAGAGGCGAAGCTGGGCCTTTAGAAGAGTGGGCAGGGTCTGGGGAGGGGGTGCGGAGGGGGTGGGGCAGTGGGAGGAGCCGCTGAAAGGGCGGAGCCCTGTGAGGGAGCGGCCCTTGGAGGAAGGGGTGGGGCTGGTGGGGGGCGCTTCGCTGGTGGGCATAGCTATTGAAAGAAGGGGAGGCATCTTTTGTGGCCAGGCAGGATGCTGGAGGAAGGGGAGGGCCGAGAGGAGGAAGGAAGAAAGAAAGGTCTTAGAAGAAGGGTGGTGGGCCATGCTGTCAAGTGCCTGGGCTTTTGGAAACAGGTGGCGAGAGTTGTGTGTTTGAAGACTTGAATTTTCCTATACATTGTATGCTGTGTGAGAGCTGGGAATACTGGGGTTGCTTTACCATTTTACTATCCTTGCTAGGCAGAAGGAGAAGCGGGTGGCAGAGGATGGCAGAAGCGGGTGGCAGAGGTCAAATAGCAACAACAGCTCCATGGACATGAAAAGACCCCTGATGCTGGGAAAGATTGAAGGCAGGAGGAGAAGGGGTGACAGAGGATGAGAGGGTTGAATGGCATCACCTACTCAATGGACATGAGTTTGAGTAAACCACGGAAGTTGGTGATCGACAGGGAGGCGTGGAGTACTGTGGTCTATGGGGAGGGTCACCAAGAGTCGACAGGACTTAGCAACTGAACAACCACCACCAGTGCTACGCACCTCATGGGCACTTAATGAGTAATGAATGTGACTGGAAAAAGCAGAAGAGTTGGGAGACTGGGATTGGAGTGAAATGTTCTGATAGGGAGGGATGGTTGTAGAAACTGCGCTCCTAGGAATCATTCTATGAATAGTCAAAGCTTCTATGCTCTGTGGGCATGTTAAGAAGCATAAAGCACAGATAATTAACATGGTGGTTTAGTCACTAAGTTGTGTCGGACTCTTGCGACCCCATGGACTGTAGCCTGCCAGGCTCCTCTGTCCATGGGATTCTCCAGGTGAGAATACGGAGTGGGTTGCCATTTCCTTCTGGGGATCTTCCCGACCCAGGAATCCAACCCAGGTCTCCTGCATTGGAGGCAAATTCTTTACCGACTGAGCTATGAGGTATAGGAATTGAGGGTAGCCATTCGTAGTCTGATTATATGGATAAGTGATAGCAAAAATGTGGCAAAGATAATGGCGAAAAGAAAGAGTGTCAGCGTTCTTCAGAGTCACTAAGATGTCTTAAGTTCCTCTCATGCTTTAAATCTCTGACTTCTGCTGCTCCTGCTGCTAGCCAGAGAAAACTGTGCTTTTAAAGGACACATATCATTAGATTTCCTGAAGGAGGGCATGACAACCCACTCCAGTATCCTTGCCTGGGGAATCCCCATGGACAGAAGAGCCTGGTGGGCTACAGTCCATGGAGTCGCAGAGTCGGACATGACTGAGTGACTAAGCACAGCACATCATTAGATTAGGCCCATCCCGTAAACCAAGATTGTTTCCCTGTCATCAGGTCAACCGATTGGTACCCATAATTACATCTGTAAAATCCCTTTTGCCGTGTAACATAACTTATTCATGGAATAGTCCCAGGGATTAGGATGGGAAACCTTGTGGAGGGAGGATTTGCAGATTTTAATTTAGTACGTTATATTTTAGGAATATTGTAGAAAAATTACTGCAGAAGTTTTTGTTTTTTTTCTTTTACCCAGTTTCAGTGAACATAAATTATACACTATTAAGCCTACATTTAATGAGAATTTTGTCTTTGAATTGACTCAGGTATACTCTTAGTCTTTTGAAGAATGGTCCTTGGGACTTACCTGGTGTTGCAGTGAATAAGAATCCACCTGCCAGTACAAGAGACAGGGGTTTGATCCCTGGTCCAGGGAGATTCCACAAGCCGCAGAGCAACTAAGCCCATGCACCACAATTCCTGAGCCTGAGCTCTAAAGCCTGCAAACCACAACTGCTGAGCCCTTGTGCTGCAGTTTCTGAAGCCCATGTGCCCAAGTGTGTGTATTACTGTTGTTGTTGTTGTTTAGGTGCTCAGTTGTGTCTGACTCTTTTGCCAACTGTGATGGCAAAATATGATGGCAAAGGTGGGGAATCACTGGCTTTTAGAAGTGACTCATATGATTTCAGTCCTGTTATTAGCTGAAATAAGTCACAAGGCACTGCTTAACTTCAAGAAGAAATGTAGATGATACTTCTCTATCTCCAAAAGGAAAAGGAAGCAAGATTTTGGTGACCAGTAGTAGCATCTTGGTACCACACTGATCCAGTATCATGAGAGGTGATGTACGAAGCAAATGACCTTTACGTATATTATAAATGTCACTACCTAAAATAAGAACATTTTTGGTCTTTGAAAATAGAGTCCAGGGACTCTAGGAATGAAAAAGTCCTAGATTTGGGGACAGAGGAAGAGATGGTTGGATGGTATCACTGACTCAATGGACATGAGTTTGAGCAAACTCCAGGAGATAGTGGAGGATGAGAAGCCTGGTGTGCTGCAGTCCATGGGGTCGCAAAGAGTCAGACACGACTTAGCAACTGAAGATAGAACTAAATAAAACATTATAATTATTTTCTTGACTGTTTTCAATTTTCTAGATTCAGAAACATTTATGAAAATACAAAATACAAGGTCCAAGAATAGATAGACAATCTCAAAGAAGTTGGATGAGTAACTGTTGAATATCAAGATATGAATCTGGAGCAGGATTTATTATAGATATTAACAAGCTGGTTTTAAAATTTATTAGGAAATGTAAAAGGAACTATAATAGGTAAAACAATTATGAAAATGAAGAATAAAATGGAGAAATCACATTACCCAGTTTTAAAAATTACTATAAACTATAGGAATCATTATGATATTGGTGAATGATGAGACACAGGTCAATGGGCCAGAATAGGGTGTTCTAAGATATACCCAAATAAACATCAGTTCAGTCTCTTTAAGCCAACTTTTTCACTCTCCTCTTTCACTTTCATCAAGAGGCTCTTTAGTTCTTCACTTTCTGCCATAAGGGTGGTGTCATCTGCATATTAGGCAAAGTGTTCTTAGACATGACACCAAAAACATAATCCATTAAAAACAAAACCAAGCCAAAATTTGATAAAACTGGTCCTCATTTTAACTTTTATACAACATATCTGTGAGAGTAGTAACAGAAGATAATGTCCTTTCGCTAGACTCTGCTGTAATATTGGTGTGTCTTTGCCACTGACCAGTGGTAATGAAGTCTTTGTTCCTTTCAGGAGCAGGGCAGTTCGTATTCTAAGTTACAGATTGGTTAGGGTGTCAAAGCTCCATTGAGTTTGCCAGATGTCTAACAAAGAGGCATTTGGTAGTCTCTGTACTTATCAGTTCATTAACAAATGACATCATCACAACGTGGGGTCAGAGATCCTAAAGGTAATGTCTGTGTTTTTTCTTTTCCTCCTGCGTTTCCTACGCCTTCTTTTGTATTCAGTAATTTCAATGAGAAGGCCTTAAGTCCTTTTACTTAGAGTAATTGGCCAGTTATTTATGGAGTGTCTCCAAATCTTCCCCTGTGGTTCAGCTGGTAAAGAATCTGCCTGCAATGTGGGAGACCTGGGTTCAATCACTGGGTTGGGAAGATCCCTTGGAGAAGAGAAAGGCTATCCACTCCAGTATTCTGGCCCAGAGAATTCCATGGACTGTATAGCCCATGGGGTCACAAAGAGTCGGACACAACTAGGCGACTTTCACTTTCACTTTTCCAAATCATTTTTGTAAACTATATTCTCCAATTTTTTTCTGATTTTTTTCTCCGCGTTTTGGTCCATCTCTTCTCTTTAAGTCCCTGTTCAAGGTCTTTACCCCAGTTAAAATTATCCAAACCGTGTAATCTGTTCTTTGATACATTTATTCAGTTTGCTTAAGATCAAAATTCATGGTTTGCTCACCTCCACTGTTATCCCATGTTTTATTTCTTGAACCATTATGTTAACATGATGGCTTAAAAAAAAAAACATTTTATTATGGAAAATTTCACAGTGACCCAAAAGTAGAGTGAATAGTGCAGTTAACCTCCATGTCCTCATACCCTTCTACAACAAACAGAATTTGTGGCTTTTTAAATTTCCTCATTCTCTCTCTAACCACAACCAACCACCCCCACCTCCTTGCAGGATTATTTTGAAGCAAGTCATAATGGCTTATGTTCAATTGGTAAAATAATAAGCTAGTTTACAGGCTTTTTTTTTTTTTTGGCTGTGCCAGGTCTTAGTTACAGCATGTGGGATCCAATTCCCTGACCAGGGATTGAACCCAGGCTCCCTGCACTGGGAGTGCAGAGTCTTAGCCACCGGACAACTGGGGAAGGCCCCTACTAACAGGGTTTTTGCTGATCATTTTCTTCCACCGCTGTTTAGTTTACATGCTGCTAGAAAAGATATTTTCTGTATCACACTGAATTTCCCATAGGCTCTGTTTCTTAGACTCTCACTCATCTTTTTTTTTAATTTTCATTCATCTTCTTTATTTCATTTCTAAATATCTTAAGTTTCTTTGGCCTTTTCATCTTGAAAAGCATCACTTTTCTTTGGGTTTATTCTTGTCTATCCAGACATATACTTTTGGGGCTTGGACCTCAGTCAACATTTTCTTCTTTGTACATTTTTTTGTTCTAGCCACTTCAATAGCATACGTCATAGAATTTAATATCTTCTGGCATACATGTGTGTGCCTTCCTGCTTTGTACTCCAAATCCAATTTTCTAGTTGCATCTGCAAATGCATTTTCCCATGGGAGCATTTTCACTGTGATCGTTGTGTTTCCTTGATGTGATTTTCTTGGAAACATATGGATTTTGATGTATGTTTTATACCAGTGACTCTTAAACCAAATCAGATTGTAAATCTCTGTGGAAGTCAAGAAGTGGAAGAACATGAGCTCTGATTTACTTCAAATCTATACACAAGGCATAAGTTTACCATCAGAAAATGAATATTATACCACTGCAGATTTTTGCATTCCAAATAGAAGGAAAACTGCATGTAATTTGTAAGAAATCACATAGCCACCCTTTCAGTTGACCTTTGATTGCTTTTTGCATATTTTTGCTTTTTTATCTCTTACATGAGTTTGGAAGATAAGAATGGACAATGAATCTTTTTTCTTTTAGATAAATCCAGGTGTTTTATTTGTTTTTTGCCACAACTATTCAGCATGCGGGATCTTAGTTCCCTGATCAGGGATAGAACCCACACCCCCTGCAGTGAAAGCTCCAGGGAAGTCCTAAATCCATAAGTCTTTGAAATTAGCCTTGGATTTTATAATGCCAATAGTTGGCAAAGGATGGTTTCATAATATTTCTTCCGTCTATTCCTGAACATGTCTTGACAATGTTTCACCTGAGTTACGGAATTGGTTTTTTAAAAGAAACAAAGCAGTATTAAAAGCTAAGTTCCATTTGCATTTTAAACCACAGGAAGAAGATGTTAAAGACTTTAAGCAACCATCACAGTAATGGATTTCAGTCACAAAAATGAGACTGAATTAGAAAATAGTGAAAATTATGAAATTCAAAGCACAGAAGAAACTGAATTAATCTATACTTGTCCAGATGGAAGAAGTGAAAAGAATCATGTTTGTTGTCTTCTCAGTGTCAGTGACGTTACACTTGAACAGGATAAAAAAGCCAAAGAGTTTGTCATTGGAACTGGATGGGAAGAAGCGGTGAGTATTTTCTTGAGTTAGGTCTTGTGCATGTCAGGGTTTTGACACAAACCTTTTACTATTTTCAGAAATAGTTACTGTTGCAAAAAACAAAAAAATGTGTAAGCAATGAAACATAGAAACCTCTGAAACAGAGGTAGAATATTAATGATGATAATAGCAGTACCTTTTGAGTATTTATGACCATTCTGTATGGGCAAGCACAGTACTAAATGCTTCACATACATCAATTCATTCACCCTCTCAGGTGTTATGAATAGCCTCACTTTTTGGAAAAGGAAACCAAAGCACCAAAAATGAAATGTGTCAAAATCTCCCAGGCAGTGGTCAAGGCAGGAGCTTGAACTGAGCTTTTCTGGACTCCAGAACCCAGTTCCCTTAACTCAAGCTACCTAACTTAACTCCTGCTATTTAACTCCCCAGGAGACCAGAGATTTCTATCCTGGTGGTTCTACACAGAACCCGGTGGTTTATTCTTAAACTATTCTTAGAATCAATAATGAAATACAGTTCTAAATTTAGAACTGTAAGGGAATTGGTCTGATTGCTTGGCACAGCTAGGGCGGGGAGGGGAGAGGGTTGTTTCTGGATGTACTGGGGTTGAGGCCAGGGTGCTGCTCCACATTGTAGAATGCCCGGGGTGGCTTCCACCACAGGAGATGCTCCAGCCCTGTCTCAGTTCGGGCTGCTATAAGAGAATACCGTAAGCTGGGCAGCTTCAGCAGCAGACATTTATTTCTTACAGTTTTGAGAGGAAAGTTCGAGATCTGGGTGCCAACATGGTCGGGTTCTTGGTGGGAGCCATATTCTTGGTTATATCCTCACACAGCCTTCCTTGGTGCAGGCAAGCGCAGAGAGCCTGCAGTACAAGAAAGCCTGGCAGGCAGGACAAGTATGGTTTTGATTTTATTTTAATAGTTCTGAATTTATTTTAATACACATCTAAAAAATATATATAGTCAGCATGTCAGTGTGCTGATAGATACTATTGCTTAGTATTTTAGTGTTTAAAAATACTATTAAAAAAAATAAAAAAATAAAAATACTATTACAAATACTGTGGCGTAGTAGGAGGCTAAACTAAGCATGAAAAGTTAAAACTAAAATAAATTAAGTCAATCTGAAGAAAAATATTGATTCAAATAGAGTCAAAATGGGGATGGGCCACAGTGGGGGCAGCTCGGCTGAGAGTAACACACTGCTTTATCTGCAGGTCCGAGGCTGGGGACAGATTTCTCCAACTGCCTGCATCTGGCCCAGGAAGAAGCTTAAGAAGGCGAGGGTGGAAGAAAGTGCCAGCAGCTGCTTACTCTGTGTCAATCTCTCCCATGGGAGCCTGGAGGCCAGGCTTCAGTTGGAGGCGGGGAAGTTGGAGTCTGGGGCTTCAGCTCCAGCTCCGGCCAAGGCAGGCCTGGAGAAGGATGGAGGCAGCCTCTCCCAGACCCTGGGCACCCCCCCAGGCCCCACTGTGGCCTCTAGGGAAGTTAATAAGATCTGCTTTCCCACCTACAGTCAGGGAGAGAAGAAAAGTCTGCAAATAAAAGAGTTCATTTGGTGCCTGGAAGACTGGGCCACCCCAGAGACTGTTAGGGGCAAGGACCCCAGAAGGCCCTGGAGAGGCACTGACAGAATTCTCGCCGCCTCAGACTCCCTGACTTCCAAAGCCCTTTTAGTCCTCCCTCCCTTGAAATCTTCGCCTGCAAATGGCTTGGATGTTCTGGGTAGGAAGACTAAGAACTTTTTCTTGCGGCCAGAAGAGAAGGGGCTAAGTGTGGAAAAGGATGAGTGTGTGGCTTATGCCTCTGGAGTGAAAGCAATTGACGGGGCAGGCGAAAAGCAGCCCACTGAGCTGGCCAGGCCCCACAAAGTCAAGGAGACGCAGCCTTTCCTCAGCCCGGCGGCCCTGACGCCCCTGCTGGCTGAGCCTGAGCCCTGCTGCCTGCGCTGGTCCCTCCTGCCTGAGAAAAACCTGGTGTGCCCTCCTTGCTATCTTGCCACCTTCCAGCTTTTGCAGAAACAAGGAGCGAGGAACTGCAAAACCAGACTCAAAGCCAGGGAGCCCAGACCTCCCACGAAAACCCCAAAGCGCGTCCTCACAGAGACCAAGCAGGAAAACAGGCCCCAAATGTTGGAGACCAAAGTGTTCTCAAGACCTCTCTTGCCGTCTCTCACAGTGAGCAGAGTTGTTATTCCCATTTCCACTCACAGACTCCTTTGAGCTGCTACAATATAATTCCCTGGGAACAAGCAGCGTCTGAACGTGGTTCATCTTCTCTCCCCTCTCTCCCTCCTGCTCCACCCTAGGTTCTTGCTCTTTCTCCTTTTCCTTCTCTTCATCTCGCACACTCTTCTTTCCCTCTCTCCCCTGGTCCTTTTTTGGTAGTAGATCGGGGACAGCTGAACCTCGTAGTATGGATTTTGATGTATTCTCAAAACCTCCACATTTTTGTGTTACCTGCCTCTGTTGCTTAGCCATTTACAAAACGCACACTGGTAGTGCCAGTCTCAGCCTCAGCCTGGCTTATCTGTGCCCTGGGAGACAAGTGGATGGTGGGGAAGCTGGAGGGCCTCCCTCCGGGGTTGCCCCCAGGTCAGCCCCCGAGCCAGCTGGCAGGGGCTCTTTCTGTCCCCTCAACCCCAGTGCTTGGAGCCAGGCATCCTGGGCTTGTTAAGACCAAATTCTTTCCTGCTCTTTGAACCTGGCAGATGGTCTATTGGTTGCCACATTTTCTCTTGCAACAGAGATCTGCTTTAACTGAAACAGTGTTGTAAGAGGAAATTCCAGCCTCTGTCCAGATGAATTTCCTATGTCCAGGGTGGCATATCCTTATACTGATATTAGATGGATGGATGTGCCATATCCATTGTATCTTATGTGTCCCAGATTTCATATACTTAGAGCCTCATGCTAGTTTCTGTGTCTGAGAGGTTTTGGCTACCTTTCTACAAAATTCATCATTAGAGGCAGATTGAGAATAATTATTATTTTTTAAATGTCACTGTGAAAAAAAAAAAGTCACTGTGATTATTGTTGGCACACATGCTTCTTCCAGTCTTACATCTACTGTTTGGGAACTCGACAGCCCCAGACAGAGTTATGGAATGGAGTTGTGAGTCTCTTCCTTCTTCCATCTTTCCTCCCCGCTTATTTTACCCCAGTGCGCACTTCCTGAAGTTGTGTATAAATTAAATGTTTAAATAAGTTATATTTTAAATGTGAAGTGACAATGCAAATGCAGAGAGATGCTCTGAAGAACCATTTTGTAATGTGAATAACCATTTAGCTGCTCTGTAATTACATAGTTTGCATTTGCTTAAAGTAGATCATACTTGAACTGTAGGCTTTCCATCTTCTAAATGATGGGCAGACAGAATATATGGCTATTTGTAAACATCTGCTTTCCATAACTGGTCTTTGTAATGTCTTGTCTGTTTAAGTTTAGGAGTTTTGTTAGTTTGTCTTTACAAAACACCAGAAATGCAGGGATGATTATAGTACAGTAGTCATTTAAAGGTGTATTTTGCCTTTTGAGGTTGGACACTTTACAGACTAGACGCAGTTTTCAGGTTCTACTCACCCTTTCTTGTCTGAATGAAGAAACCATCTGAATTCATCCCCAAGAAGAGGTCCCAATTTCCCTCTGTGTCTGCACACTGGGGGTGTTGGGCCCAGTACTGCTTGAGCACTGTCCAGCTCTGGCAACCTACCTACCTGAGTCAGTGGTTTTTTTCAAGTCCTCCTTTGTAGGCTGCAGAATAATGAATAAGCTCACTATGTATACACCTGTCAAAGTGTTTGCTTGCGAGGGAAAAGAATCTACCAGTATGAACGAGGGACAAAGCTCACCTGCTTAGCCCAGGGGTACTTACCAGTTGAGATCTTGCCACAGTTTGAACTGATGCAAGTTACAAGAGAATGCGATTTTTTTTTTCCTTAAGAAAAACTTACTGTTGAGATAAGGGTTATACATTCTATACCTTTGGGGATAAACATATAATAATTTATTGAGGTTTAGTTTGAACAAAGGAAGGACCCAAATTTAAAGGTTTGTTGTTCAGTCGCTTAGTTGTATCTGACTCTTTGCAACCCCGTGTCAGTTTTAGTATCTTTAAAAATTTTTTTAATCAACTTTTTTTTTAAATTATGAAAGCATCTTTTTCTTTAGGTAATTATTCAAATACCTGATAAAAATCCCTCTGGTATCTTATTTGTATTGGCCAAGGAAGTTTGGCTTGCTTTTCTGTGGACAAAGTCACTGTAGGCCTTGTCCCGGTTTCTAGTCAGATTAAATCAGGACGTTCAAACTGGTCTTTGATATCCAAGTCTAGATAAAGGCTAAATGTTTACTGGAATGCAATAACAAAAATCTCGGTCAATAACAAGAATCCTTCCATTTTAAGGCAGCAACGTGTTATAATTCAGTGCCAATGACCCTCTTCCTACCTCCAGGTGATGACCTCAAATTAGGTTTCTGTTCTTGTGTGTTGTTGTTAGTCGCTCAGTTGTGTCCAACTCTCTGCCACCCCCTGAACTGTAGCCCGCCAGGCCCCTCTGGCCATGGAATTCCCCTGCGAGAATACTGGAGTGGGTTGCCATTCCCTTCTCCAGGGGATCTTCCCGACCCAGGGCTCGATTCTCAAGCCAAACAGAGGTCTCTGTGTTTCATCTTTTATTCTATTAGTTTGTATCATTAGTAAAACTTTCCGAACTCCTGTTTTTCTGGAGATTTAAAAAAATCACTGAGTGGAAGTGTGGCTGCAGCCAACACAGGGCTCCTCCTGCAGAGCCTCACCTCCTGGGGGAGGCCACTCCAAGTTCTGGGGGTGCTACTGAGCAAGTACAGGGCCGCAGGGACTGGACACCCGGGAGAGTGTAGATCTGACAGCGATGAAGGGGACGAGGGCGAGGGGAAGGTTAAGTCAGAATAAGACCCAGCAGTGTTTGGACAAGTATGGCGAGCTTTGGCTGCTCGGGGAGACTTCCTCTCATTTTTAGCTTTTTTCTTTTTAGTCTGGGCTGGATCTAATTTGCTTTCAATCTCTCCCTCTCCCTAAGTGCCAGAGCGCCAGCCCATCTCTATGCAGGCTCCCCCAGCTGGCCAAGCAGGCTGAGCTGCACAGTTGGGGTCCTCACACCTGGGACTTTTTGGGGTGTCTGGGCTTGGGTCTGAGTGCAGCCTTGGTGCTGCAGTGCCGGGGCTCCTGAGAAGCCAGATGAGGAAGAAACCCGGGGCTCCCATGGCTGTGACTAAGGGCAGACGAGGGAGTTTGCTGGTACCACCGGCAACACTCGTCCACTGTCTGCCAGGCTGACTGTGGCCCTGGAGCCAGGAGAGGCTCTGTGCTGTGCCCTTGATGCCCAGGCTAAACTCTGACCTGAGTGCCACTAACCCATCACATGACACAATAAGTCCACTTGAATTGGCAAGGCACTATTCTAAGTGTTCAGAGCCTGCTCTGGGTATTGCCTCCTTTTATCCTGAGCAAATTCACGGGGCTCAGGGCTCATTTTCTCCCAAGAAGAAACCCATCCACAGAGAGTTTGGGTCCAGGTGTGCAGCTTGGGCATCTGAAGGTGCCAACTTATCTGCAAGGTGAGGAAACAGCTGGAGCGCTGGATGGAACCAATCATGTAGGGCCAGGAAGGAGGACTTTGGAATGTCTTTCCTTCCTGTTAGATGGGAACAGTTTCAGACACAGGATGTAGTGAAGATGAGGAGGTAAGGTATGTAAAACGCTCATAGAGATTTGTGGTTTTCCAGAATGTCATGATCAGATCAAATACAAAGAGCTGGATAATTTCCCTTTAATGAATGCCTGGCTGTTCAAAATCATTTAGAAATCCTGTGGGCATGGCCAGTTGTTACTTGGACTCTTTAAAAATCTCACCTCCCTAACTTGTCAACTTGGGGGTCCTTGGTTGGGATGCCTGTCAATCAGTTCATGGGCCATCTTCATTGCCTGGCCCTTCCCCTCATCCTGTTTTGCCTGAATTTCTACTGCACCAGTCTAAACATGATTGCTCTGTAGACTTACACCATGTCTCTCAGACTGGTGTTGTGTCATCCTGAGGTGTTACGGCAAAAAATTTACTTTTCAAGTTTAATCTCACAGATCAAAACTATTATATATCTTCCTGAACACAGTCTTAAAGTAACTGCAGTGCAGTAACTAAAACTAGTACCATCATCCTTTTTCCTAGGAGCTGAAAACTAGACATTTTTAAATGGACTCTGTCCTATAAAATGAGGGGTTAGGGACTTTCCTGATGTTCCAGTGGTTAAGACCCTGTGCTTCTAATGTAGGAGATGCAGGTTCGATCCCTGGTCAGGGGGAAAAATTGAGGGAATTAATACCTAAGGTACTTCCTGATTCTGTCATCTTAATAAAGTTAACTTGCCTGTAAACATTACTAGACACTCAAATTGTGAACAGTTCTTTCTGTCATAGATTTGTGATCAGATTGACTCTGGATGGTGGCTTTTGTAGTGTGAAATTAAAAGAAAATCTAAGTGAATTTCAATTTCTACATTTCAAAGTTGCTTACAGTAGAAGTCCTAAAATATTTTTTTTTTTTTAACATAAGACCCAGGTGGCTCAGTGGTAAAGGACCCTCTTTAATGCAGGTAGATGCAAGAGATGTGGGTTCGACTCCTGGGTAGATCCCCTGGAGGAGGAAATGGCAACCCACTCCAGTGTTCTTGCCTGGGAAATCCCATGGACAGAGGAGTCTACAGTCCATGGGGTTGCAAAGAGACATGACTGAGCAACTGAGCACCCACCAGAACTCAACTTTTCTAATACATCCTTTCTAAACAGCATACACACTTTATTTTAGGCTGTGCAGGGTCTTTGTTGCTGGGTGTGGACTTTCTCTAGTTGCGGCAAGTAGGGGCTTCTCATTGCTGTGGCTTCTCTTGTTGAGGAGCACGGGCTCTAGGGTGCGTGTGCTTCAGTAGTTGATGCACACGGGCCCAGTAGTTGTGGCGCATGGGCTTAGTTGCCCCGAGGCATCTGGGATCTTCCTGAGCCAGGGATCAAGCTGCAGTATGCACACTTCTTAAAGATTTCAGTGGCCGAGCATCTTTGGAAATAAGCATTGCATCCACAGCAGTGCTTAAAGTTCCACCTCGCCAACTGGCCCTGTCCCTTGGGCAGGACTCTTCAACCTTGGCACTACTGGCGTTAGGGATGGGTAAATCTTTGTGTGGGGTTGTTTTGTGCATAAAGGAAAACTGAGCAGCATCTCTGGCCTCTACGCACTAGATGCCAATAGTCCCCTCCCAGTTGTGACAGTCAAGAATGTCTTTAGACATTGCCAAGTGCCACAAGGGCCCAGGTGAGAATTAATTAGGGAATTAATTATCTAGAATCCAATACCTGTTTGCAGCTTCTCTGACAGCTCTGCTTCGAGAGCGAGCAGAAGCCTTGGCACAGAGGCAAAGGGAATGTGGGAGAAGCTCCGCCTGCCTCATCCTGGGCAGCGCAAGTGCTCTTGGTTTTGTCCTGGTCCCTCAGGGCCTCCTGGGGTCACCTGCCCTGTTTCCCTCCAGGCCTGCTTTTCTCTGGGACCACTTCTCTCAGAGTTAACAGTAGGGCTCATTTAGTCAGAGCCAGGGAGAGCTGTAGGCATTCCCTGATTCTCTTTAGGAGAATGTGCATTATTGTTTTGGCAAGGTTTTCAAGAAAATTCTAAGATGCTAAATTTAATGGCGTAATTCAGAATTCTCTACTTTTCAACCAGTACTCTCCTCACGCTCACTGTGCTAAATCGCTGCGAATACTGAGGCAGCCCAGTATGTATGACCCTCCTTAGTAGCCACTGGAAAATCGATACTTTATATATGTGAAAATGGCTTTTTTCCTCCCATTTAGGTCAAACTACAAGCCTTGCTCCCCTATGTATCTTATAATGAAACAGTTTCTCACTTACTTAAACTTGAGGAGTGCTAACCTGAAGACATAATATAAACTAGCCTTATTTCCAGCAACACAGCAGGGTTAGGACTATTAACTGTAAAATGTGAAAGAACTGTTAGCAATTTCATTTCACATCTGCATGTGCTCTGAAGAGAAGTAGAAATCTAACTAACGAGATAAAAACCATTGGTCCTGAAACTGTTCATGACTCTGCTCAGGCTCTGTTTTGTGGCCATTCACCAAATCCTCATGACGGACTTTTCTAATGTAATCCTAATGTAATCCCAGGAAAATGGAATGTTAGGGAGTCACCATTATAGTAGCTAATGAGAGAACTTGAAATCTGAAGACTTACTCTTTAGACACATAGGTCGTCAGAGAAACGGGATTTAAACAGTTCTAAAATATACCATACCAAAAGAAAAGGCGAAAAAAAAATTTATACCAGCCTACAACTAATTAAATCAGTACTAGAGTCTCAAATATAGCTAAACAAAAACTATTACCACAAACTGAACTAAGACAATATAAACAGTTCCTAAAGCATCATCTGCCAAAGTTTGGATGGCTTCTCAAAAAGCAAACTATAAAATCTTAAGTTTTGAGAGCTCACTTTTTAAATAGGGAAGTCTTTGAGGAGCATTTTAAGGTTAGATATCCTTTCGTGATAAGTTAATTCAGATGCACTGACTTCTGCCAAATTTTTATTGCAGCACAAGCTCTACATTTTCTGATGTCACTAAATTTCTCGTTACAGCATAGGAAAAAGAAGATAAAATAGGAGAGGTATCAGTTTCAAATTCAGTGCTAAGCAGCAACATTTCTGAGATGCAATCATAAAACCAAATATTTCATCCAGGACAAGGAAAAAGCAGTGGATCACCAGAAAGCAGAGTAGAAAGCTGCAAGAAGATGTGAAAAACAAAAAGAAAAGCAAGAAAAGCAGTGAGAAGATGCCAAACTTGGAACAGGTCTTATTGACACATGCTAATCTCACTTCTTTAGGCCAAAGAAAAGAAAAAGTCTTTGTTCACATAGGTAATATATGCATCTTTGAGAATAACAAAGTTGCTATGGAGATAAATTTTTATAAAAATATTTTTTTATTTTCTGAAATATTTGACTGTTTCAACGATAAACCAAAAGTTATAAATTTTGTTGTTTCTTCTTTATGTCCTGTAATATTAACTTGCTAGATGGTAAAGGAACCAAGTTAATGGAAGGGCCTTGATAATGAGTTTCTCCTGTGACAATCTTTGCTATTTCTGATTTTGTGGATTTAGAACAAAGTTACAAATGTGCTTATTATTTTATTAGTAAGGCAATATATAGATTTTTTTCCCTGAAGTTGAAGGAAATGAATGAATACTGGCACTCTTCCCATTTATTATAGACAATACTCTTATTCCCTCATTTGCTGCTTTCAAACAGGCATATTTTATTTTTAAAGATGTATTTACTTATTCTGTTTGGCAGCACTGGGTTCCCTTTACCACACGTGGGCTTCTCACTGCCGTGGCTCCCCTATTGTGGAGCACAGGCTCAGTAATTGTGGCACACAGGCTTAGCCGTGTGGCATGTGTAATCTTCCTGGACCAGGGATCGAACCTGTGTCCCTGGCATTGTCAGGGGGATTCTTAACCACTGGACCACCAGGGAAGTCCCCACACATGCATATTTTAAAATAAAGAGCCCAAATGTGTTAATTTGAGGACACCAACAATCTGAGAGTCCTTTCCATTATTTCTTTAGCCTGCCTCTCTCGATACACTAGTATCAAGTATTTACACTAGTAAATGCAGTTCACACACCTGCGAGAAACTTTGGATTTAAGCACTGCAAAACAGTGATATTTAAAGGACTATCTTCTCGACTATCATTAGATTAGCCTACATCCTGCTGAAAAGACTAGATTAACATTCGTGTGTTTTAAGTCTTTTAGGTGTTGGGAGTAACCAGTAAGTCAAAAGACTGTGTACTTTCCTAGTGTCAGATCTAATCAGTGACACTTTAATGTATGTAAGATGAGCACACACACACATATAAGGAAAATAAAACCACATAATACTTGAGACTCCAAAGGCATCACCGACTCAATGGACATGGGTTTGGGTGGACTTCGGGAGCTGGTAATGGACAGGGAGGCCTGGCGTGCTGTGGTTCATGGGGTTGCAAAGAGTTGGACATGACTGAGCAACTGAACTGAACTGAACTGAACCAAAGGCATCATTCCTAAATGCCTCTAAGTTACACATTCCTCCCAGTCTTTGTTTAAGAGCCTTCTGAAGACAAATCTGAGAAGCATTACTTTAAATATTCAAGTAGTAAGCGCTCTTTAGTGTCAGTATTAAGTTTGGACTGGAACTAAGATAAGCATTCTAAAATTGAGATCATAAAGGATTACATGAAAATACCACCCTGTCAGTTGCCACTAGTAAAACAATTCAACTTCACAACTAGACGGACACTGATATGTTTTCTTCCAATCAAAAGTAGCTTCAAACTTTGCATCTTTCAGGTAAGTCTATAAAAAATTTCTTCATTTCCCTTTATCTCAAAGGAATCAAACATATTGATTTGGCTTTCCTACAGTTAGTGACTGAGCAAAGAACTACTCATAGCCTTACTCTCGCATATTTGCTCTTAAGCCAGAACCACATTACTTACAAAGATAAAAGACACCCCATTATGAAATGGTGACATTTGGATGAAAAAAAGAGAGTAATTTCCTTTGAAAAAATTTTCCAAAAACTTATTGTAGTTTTTATCAAAATAAAAACTTTACATCAAAATAGCAGCTTTGGTAATGGAATGTCTTTTTCCTTTCTACTGGGAAAACTTAGCATATTTTCATGAACAAAGGTAATGGAAATAACTAGGCACAGTCATTTCATCATGTGACTTTCAGAGGATGATGAATTTGTAAAGAGTTAAAGCAACAAAGTCATGAATATGTTGAAGAATTCACACAAAAGGTAGAATTCTCACTTCTCTTTAATCACTGAGTGTTCAGCTTTTACAAATCTTAGAACAATTCAGGGAACTAAGGTTCGGGGTGGGAGACAGTTCTTACTGGTACATGAACTATTACATGCTCAATTTTATGTAAATAATTCAGTTGGCTGGATTAACAAACATTGTCACAGAAACACACAAAAAAAAATTTTTAAAGCCATAGATCACTGCATATATATTTACAAAAAGCCAAAACAAACATGCACTTCTCCTACAGGAGAACTGAAATAGATGTTTGAAATGTTAAGGCAGTGATGATTCTAAAACATAATGAAATACTAAGTTAAGGCTTTATGTTTGTTTTGAAACCCATATTCATAGGCAGCTGTGACCCAAGCAAACTTTTATCTACCAGGTTGAGTTCATCTGCCCAGGACATGTTATTTATCCATTACCACCAATGGGACAGGAATTAGTAGCAACACCAGTGATTTTCTCTAACGAATTATTATTAGTTCCCTCCTTAGGTTGTATTTTGAGGGTTTAGTCTTCAGCAGCATAAAGCATGTGCCACATGAGGAATAGAGCATTTTTTTGGGTAAACTTAGAAAAATGTACAGACTGCATTGATTTTTACCTGCCTGAAAACTGGCCAACAATCAAGAACTCAGGATCTTATAAATACAAAAAACCCTACAAGTGTATCTGACTGCTCAGCCATCTCAAAACATATTATGTTCTTGAAGTACTGGATCTTCACCTCATTTCTTTGAAGACTGTTCAGTATTACCCTCTCTAAACAAACAAAGCAACATAATGCAGAATGCCGTATTTTAGACAGATCTATTCTAGAATTGCTATCTTCAAGGCACAAACACTGTTCTTGCTAGACCAATGTGTTTCCTCATTCAAGGAAAAAAATGAAAGGTGGATGAAAAGATTCCAGGAGGAGCTAACAGGCGTGATTCCACAGCCCAGCCTTTCCAGAGTTGGGGTGACTTACTGTCACTTAGACTGAAAGGATCACTATTTACACTAGGTGCTTGCCGCTACTACTTTAAGCAATAATTGTACAGCAACATGTCTTGTGAGCAAAGTACTATACACTTATGTTCATACCAGTAACAGTTCACGTAGAGGGATGGCATTGACTATATGCAAATTGTCTCAGGAGCTAAAAACAACAGCAGTTTTCCTTTGTGTCTTCAAATCAGGGAAGAGTGAGATGTCAAAGCAGGTGAAGCTGTTGGTGTTTAAATCTGACGGTGCAGCGTCAGACTTCTTTACACGTCATCAGGGAACAGGAATTTCCTAACAAGCACTGGCAAGAGTATTTTCGGTGCAATTTAAGTCAGTCATGCTTTGACGAAAATGTTTTGAAGATATGAAGTTTGTACCCTAAGTCCTGGTGAGCTTGGCTTCAGCTAAATGGCAAGATGGGTTTTAAAGGTGTGAGATACATTTTTTTTTTAAAGAAGGGAAGACTACACTGAAAGGGCAAATGTCGGCAACACAAAAACAATCATGTTCAGATCAACATCTTATACTTTATAATACACTCACAAATTTTTACACAAATTTCGTTTACAAGTACAAAAAGGCAAAGAACCTCAAAGAATCGAAGTAACTGTATCGTTGACTACATTCAGTAGAGTTAATACTGTTGTCCCTGTTCTTCATCTTCTAAATCCAGAAGGGAACTGTGAATCCATCCCCCATGTGGACTCCGCTTTCAGAAGTTGGAGACTGGGTGTAGTTCTGCACACGTCTGGGTTTCAACAGAGCTGAACTGAGATTCCATCGTGTTCCAGGCCAGATCGGCCAGAAGAAAGTCATCCATTGCTGTCTGAGTTTCATTGCTGGTGAAGAATAAGCTCCCCAAAGTTTCGAAGCCAGAATTCATGGTCTGTGTTTCGGCAGTGTTCAACTGAACTTTGCTTTCCAGGGCAGGCAGGTTTTTAGCAGTGGAGATTCCGTCAGTCTGGGTCTCTGTGTCAGATGAATCAGTACTCATGGAAAAGCTAGAGTGTTTTAGGATACTTCCCAGTGGCAGACGGGGGCTACTGTCTAAAAAGAAGTTCAGGTCTGTCTGTGTCTGCGTGTCAAACATCTCAAGGCCTAAGAAGCTAGAATTCCCCCTACAACTGTAGGCCTGGGCAGAAGGGTCTGCAAGGAAGAAGTCAGTTTGGGTTTCTATGTCCAGCGACTCCAAGACTGGCTCAGTGGTCATGGTGCTAAGCTCACTCTCCTCGGTTTGTGTCTGTATATTTGAGGCTGAAAAGAACTCTTCGATATCAAAATCAATTTCAGGGTTCTGGGTTGGGCCAGATGGGAGCTGGGTGTCAGGTCCAGTATTTGTGTCAGACAAAAGACTACGATTGTCCAGTGTCTGACCAGGTAGGTTACTTGACAAGATATTTTCTAGATCACTTAATAAATCCATGGTTTGGGTCTGATTATCTGTCATGTTCTGTGACGAAAGCATACTATTTGGTGCACTGAAGTTTATAATTGGGGTGGATTTCTCAATATCTTGAGTTAAAGTTTTAGGGTGGTTCTGAGGTAACAAGTCATGAGTTACAGTCTCTGCTACTAAGCCGCTGCTTATAATGTTGTCTGTAGACACACCGTATGATGAATGGACACTCTCAAAAATGTCTCCACACATTACAGCTTGGTCCATCTGTACTCGGTCCTCTGCTGGACTTTGCATTCCGCTGGTCTGAGTTTCTCTGGAGATCCCACCTGGCTGGAAACTGGCATCTATAAATGCATCAGTCTGGGCAGCGATGGATGAGGTTAGCTTAGAACTGGGCAAAAAAGTCTGAGTTTGAACACTAATGGGAAGGGAAACCTGGGAACCAAATGTCAAATCAGTTTGCGAACAGGACGACACAGAGGAGTCAGGGCTGGCCCACTGTGCAGACGGCATGAACTGTGGTGTGGTGTAGGACAGGTCTGTCTGTACATTGATGGAAGAAATGCTGTTCTTTTGACAAGTGTTCCCAAGTTCTTGTAATGGGCTAAATGGATTTTTACCCAAGTTCACTTGAATACCTGTGCTAATCGGCTCAACAGCAACAGGATTGACAACTTTTGAAAGAGGGAGGCTCTCCTTGAGAGAGCAGGCCTCCGAATCCAGGCCGAGGATCAGGGTTCCAATGGACAAGGGCAGTAAGTGCACGGCCCCGGGGGCAGAGCCCTGCTGGTCGACACCCAACACCACAGGCTGGGCCGAGGAGTCGGCTGCAGGCACGAAGACGGGCACAGGAGAAAACTGCATGACGGGGAGTTTAACCAAAGCCACTTTGGGCTTTGGTAAAAGCAACTTCTGAGGGTACCTTGGAGGTGCTGGAAGAGTCTGCTGTTTGGCATTAGAGCTACAAGAGTCTTCAAAGGAAGCCACCAGCTTTATTTCTGAAGTTTCTAGTTCTGGAGCATCTGGTCGTGGAATTGGTTGGTTGCTCAGTGATTCAGCGGTCTTCCTGGACAGCTTCTGACTGTGCAAGCAGTTTTCCATTTTCCTTTTCTTACTAGGTGGATCCCTGAAAGCAATGGCAGAGTGAAAAAGAGAAAAGTGATTTTAAACTGCAGCTTTCTTCATCAACCCTGGCACT